GCAGCTACCATTACCAAAGGTTTACTCTAAAGACATTGAGAAAAGACCTAGTAGCAAATCTTTCCATTCAATAGAGCTGCCTCTTATTTATTTAGTTACTTGCTTTTTTATTTACTTATTTTTAAAATTTATTTTTTCAGTAACAGTTGGAATACAATATATTAGTTTCATGTGTGCTACATAGGGGTTAGACATTTATTTAACTTATGAAGTGATCACCTGGTAAGTCTAGTACCTATCTGACACCATACATAATTGTTACAATACTATTGACTATATTTTCTATGCTGTAACTTCACATCCCTGTGACTATTTTTTTTTATAACAGGCAAGTTGTACTTCTTAATCCCTTTCATCTTTTTTCACCCATCCCTCGAAGCCCCCTTCCATCTAGAAATTATCAGTTTGTTCTCTGCATCTATGAGTTTGTTTCTGCTTTGTTAACTTATATTGTTTCTTAGGCTTAACATATAAGTGAAATCATATGGTATATATCTTTATATATTTGACTTATTTCACTTAACATAATAACCTCTAGGTCCATTCATGTTGTTATAAAAGGCAAATTTCTTTGTTGTTGTTTTGATAACTAAGTATATGCCTTTTTGGTTTTGGTTGAAACATACTTGAATGAATTACTTATTATTACCATTGTCACCTCATTTGATCCTCATCAAATAGATCCTCATCTATCAAATAGAGTCAACACATTATTTATTTGATAGATGAAAACTCAGACTTTTGAAAGGTAAGTGACTTTTCTAGGGTCATAAAGTTAATGAATTGCTGAGCCAAGGCATTAGGATCAGATAAAATGATCCCAAATCAAGGATATTTGTAACATTGCTTTAAAAACTAGCATTTGAAGGACATTCAGAGATAATTTACTCTAACCATTCCATTTTATTGATGTGGGAATTTCCTGGCTCAAGACCTATACATTTGCTCAGTGTTTTATATGTCTATCATCAGCATCAGTGTTAATTAAATATTTGATCATATTATTCAACCTTATCCAGGTTTTTAAGTATATATAGAACTTGTTAATTTATACTTAAATAATTTACAAGCTTCAATCAACATGCTGATAGAT